AGAAATGTGTTTGTAGAATTGTGTAGAGGAATGCGTGTCTTATTCCCCCTACGTAGTGCCTTATTTATGGTAATAAGAGCGAGCGAGAAGAAATCCTTCATCCCCAAGGAATACAAAAGAATAACTAGAATCATATCTAATCTAGGATTTACACAATCAAACTTAAACTAGATAATTATAAGAGCTAACATATATTTTTAAAGGAAATAAATAAGATTACGATTGGGCCCTTAATCACAATTATTTTTTTACTAACACCTTATTAATTTTCGGTTTTTATCAAGTCTTTTAACTTTGTAGACGTCATATTTTGTACAATTTATTTAATTTCACATCATACTTTTTTTTTGGGTAAATTACATTTTACTCCCTCGGGTTTGAAGTCGATTTCAATTCTTTACAACATCTTTAAAACATTTCAATTTCATACATCCATTAGAAAATCTGTTTAGTAAACCGTTAAGTGATGACATAGCAAATATGGTATCCACATTTGTGCTGACATGGTTGCCACATTTATGTCACGTGGCAAAAAAAAATATTTATTTATACATTTAAAATATAATAATATTCACCCTATTTAAAAAAATAAAATAAAAAAAGAAAAAACCAAACAAACCCAGAAACCCCCCGACCCACTTCTCCAACCCTTCTCACCTCCTATACCTTCTCTCTCCCCAGACCCATTCCTCCCTATTCAACCACCCCCCTCCCCCCGACCCCAAGGAACTCGACCCACCACCACCCTAGCCCAACTGGAAAAAAATTCACCCTCTCTTCTTCCCACCCTAAATCCACCACCATGAGCTCGAGCCGAGCTCTCCGACAACTAGAATAGAGGTGCGAAAACCAAATATAATTATCTATTCAACATGAGCATTAGTGTACCGATCGCCTTTCTGATAACTAATAAATTTGACTTCAGAACCTCAAACAGCTCGAATTGAACAGTCCAAACTTAAATTCCATAGCTTTTTAAAACATCATCAAGATTAAAGCTTTCAGCACATTCATGTGCAATCTCAAATCCTCTAAATTTTTGTATTTTTAAGACAAACCGACATCTCCAAATCATCAAAAATCCAACCATTTCAAACCAATCCAAACTTCCTCATACTCCAACGGTTCACTACAACTCCATAAACCACTTGCTCGAAACCCACAACAACTATTACAATAAAGCACAAATTAGGTAAAATCGTAATTGTACCTTGGCGGCATTGAAAGCCTGCTCGGATTTTTCGAAAGTGAAACTCTTCTTCTTCTCATCAAGGAAGACGACCATCTTGACGGTGCAGAACCAACGGGACGATTGCGAAAACCCCAAGGTGGGTCTCTGAGAGAGCTAGGCTAGAGTTCATGGTGGTGGATTTAGGGCGGGAAGAAGAGAGTGTGATTTTTTTTTTTCCGGTTGGGCTAGGGTGGTAGTGGGTCGAGTTCCTTGGGGTCTGGGGGTTTCTGGGTTTGTTTCGTTTTTTTTTTTTATTATTTATTTTTATAAATAGGGTAAATATTGTTATATTTTAAACGCATAAAAAAATATTTTTTTGCCACATGACACAAATGTGACAGCCACATCAGCACAAATGTGGATCTCATATTTGCCATGTCATCACTTAACAATTTACTTAACAGATTTTCTAACGGATGTATGAAATTGAAATAAAATGATAAGTAAATTTATGAAATTGAATGTTTTAAAGATGTTGTAAGCAATTGAAATTGACCCCAAACCTGAAGGGGTAAAATGTAATTTACCCTTTTTTTCGTCTTTCAGTAATCCTTATTTATCTATTTGGATTAGACTGCAAATTTTTAATCTTATTTCAAATACATGTGAATATTATAGGCAAATACTATTTTCAAATCTGGGTATTCATATCTCTTTCTTCCCCCAAGATCTTCTTCATATCGTCCTACAGAAAAACAACTGTTTTTTTGCTCTATATCATTTCAAAGTTGATAGCAGCCAAATAACCGCCACCTATTCAAATTTCGTAAGTTTTTTCTTTTTCTTTTGGGCATGGACATCCGTTAATTAATCTTATTTTTGATATGGTTCCTTTTATTTATTTTTTTATTTTATTTTTTTGAACAAACGATATTATTTACATTAATTAGATAAGAGAATAGGCTAAGTACCAGTTTGGTACTGCTATGATTTAAAAAAAAAAACAGATATAAAAAAAAGCTGAAACATTTTTAGTGTTTGGTAACCTCTTAGAATCAGCTTTTTTTCACAGTTTATCATAAGAAGCATAAAGTATAGGAATGAATTTCTGTATATTGACATCAACGAGATTTACAGCTTTATACAAAGTCTTACATGACTTGTTTCCTATTCTATTCCCTACAAATAAGGCTAACTGATAACTTAATAGGTAATTAAATATCAATCCATAATATTTGACAAATCAATCTAAGATTCCTTTCTTAACACTCCCCCTCAAGTTGGAGTGTATGTTAATGACACCTAACTTGTTGAGTAAGGTTTCAAATTGTGTCGAGCTTAATGGTTTGGTGAATATGTCAGCTAGCTGATCACCCGTTCGTATGTATGACGTGCGTATCATTCCCTTTTGAATCTTCTCTCGCACTAGTTGACAATCAATCTATATGTGCTTTGTTCGTTCATGAAAGACGGGATTTGAGGCAATATGTATAGCTGCTTGATTATATCTACATGTACGGCAATATGAAAGACGGGTCTTGTGATGGTCAAATATATCAATCTACCCACAAGTCTTCTATATGAAGAGGTATCATCCAACAATTTTCCTTCCAGTTGTGTGAGAGCCAAGTTTTGGTCTAAAGGAAACCTGGAAGGTTTCACTCCTAGAAAACCAACATCATCCAGTATCTCCAGTGCATATTTACGTTGACATAGAGTGATTCCATGCTTCGATCTTGCAACTTCTATCCCTAAGAAATACTTGAGTACCCCCAAGTCTTTTAGTTTAAAACGGTGAGAGAGAAGTTGTTTGGTTTCTTGTAATCTCACATAAGTCATTCCCTGCCAGTATAACATCGTCAACAGTAAAGCAATGAATGTACCTCGATGACTTCTGGTGAACAATGAGTAATCGGACAAAGATTGTTGAAACCCAGCAGCCTTGAGAGCATTGGATAATTTGATGAACCATTGCCTCGAAGCTTGCTTTAAACCGTAGAGAGACTTATGCAATTTGCATACTCGAGTCTCCCCCTTGCATCCAAAACCAGGTGGCAAAGACATGTAAACGTCCTCTTCCAAGTCACCATGTAAAAAGGCATTGTTCACATCGAGCTGGTGAAGGTGCCAACCTTGCAAGGCTGCAACACTTAGGAGAACGCGAACAGTAGTTAATTTAGCCACAGGAGCAAACGTGTCACGGTAATCAACTCCTTCGACTTGATTGTATCCTTTGGCAACAAGACGGGCTTTGTACCGTTCGATGGTGCCATTGGGTTTGAGCTTCACTTTGTAGACCCATTTGCAGCCAATAGGGCGTTTGCAAGGAGGAAAAGGCACGAGCGTCCATGTATGATTGGCATGAAGGGCTGCAAGTTCATTTTGCATGGCAGCACGCCAATGGGGATCCTGGACAGCCTGGGAATAGCTAGTAGGTTCCTTATGAAGGGTGAGATGAGCAATAAAGGCTTTATAGAAGGGTGAGAGACAAGTATAGGATAAGTAAGAAGAAAGTGGATGGGGTTTACCTGACGACGACCTAACCACGTTCGTGGAAGATGTGGGAACCGGCCGGGATAGGAGAGACGCCTCGACATGAAAGTCCTGCAAAAAGGAAGAAGGTTTGGTGGGGCGGGTACTTTTGCGGGGTGGGGGTGGGAGTGGGGTGTGTGTGGTCGTGGGAGCAGATGAGGAGGGAGGGGAGGGTGTAGGGGTGGATGTGGTCGTGGCATCAGCTAAAGGAAGAGGCCGAGGGGAAGGTGGTGATGGGGTTGATGTAGAAGTATCATCAGAAGCGATGTCAGTATAGGGGTGAGGTGGTTTAAAGGGAGGGTCCATGTCAAAAGAAAGCAAGGGTGCGGAATGTGGTGTTAGAGGGGAGGTTGTAGGTGCAGTTGAGATTTCTAAATGAGAATAAGGAAAGTTATCTTCAAAGAAAATCACATCCCGGGAGATAAAAACCTTTTGAAGTTGAAGATCAAAAAGTTTATAGCCTTTTGTACCATAAGGATACCCTAGAAAAATGCAACGACGGGCACGGGGATCAAATTTGGAGGGTTTGTGTGCATGAGTGGATGCAAAACAAAGACATCCAAAGACTTTAAGGTGAGTGTAAGTGGGTGGTTTGTGAAACAGCTTTTCATATGGAGTTTGCCCATGAAGAATGGGAGTGGGTGTGCGATTAATGAGATATGCGGAAGTGAGGATAGCGTCCCCCCAAAATCTTTTAGGTAAATGAGCTTGAAAAAGGAGTGCACGAGCAACATTAAGCAAATGACGGTGCTTGCGTTCAGCAACACCATTTTGCTGGGGTGTGTGGACACAACTAGTTTGATGAAGAATTCCTTGGGATGCATAAAATGTATCAAGTTTAAACTTGGGACCATTATCACTGCGAACCATTTTAACTTGAGTGTTAAATTGTGTGGCAACCATATGAATGAATCGAGTGAGAAAGTCCTTTGTATCAGATTTATGTTTCATCAAATAGATCCATGTGCACCTAGTATGATCATCAACAATGGTAAGAAAGTACTTTGCACCAGAAAGAGAAGGTACTTGATAACCACCCCAAATGTAAACATAAATTAATTCAAAACAAGAAGTAGTAGACATGGAACTTAAAGGGAAAGGCAACCTTGTTTGTTTAGCCAAAGGGCAAATTAAACATTGAGTAAGATTACAGGTTTTATTGGAGAAAAAGGAAAACAACATGGTAACTTTAGGTGACGGATGGCCGAGGCGTTGGTGCCAAAGGTTGGGAGAGATGGTTTGGATGGCATTGCATGTTCCTTTCTTCGGTGAGTCGAGATAGTAGAGTCCCTCCCGTTCAATTCCCGTCCCAATCATCTTCCCCGATCGTAGGTCCTGGATGACACAAAAATGGTTTAAGAAAAAGGGTAATAGTAAATGAATCATAAGCCAATTGACTAATGGATATTAAATTTAACGTAAAGATTGGGACACAAAGAACATTGTCAAGGATAAAATTAGGAGAAAAAATGACCTGGCCAACATGAGTGACCGTGGCAAGGGATCCATTGGGTAATGCAACAGTGTGGTTTTGAACAGGCCTAGAGGATGTAAGGGACTCGGGGCTACAAACTATGTGATCTGTGGTACCACTATCCAGGATCCAAACATTGTGCTTGCCATGACGCATGAATGAAAAAGCTTTACCTGAGAGATCATCGTGGCTGGAAGAATTACCAACATGATTAGCAAAAGAAGATTTGTTTTGATGCAACATTGTAAGGATCTGCTTGCAATCTTCTGAAGAGAACGGGAAGTTGGAGATCTCCTTGTTGGTCACGGCAACTTGATTTCCTTTGGCAGAACGGCTTGGTTCGCTGTCTATGACTGCTTTTCTTTTGCGGAAATACTCGTACGAATGACCCTTCCAACCATAGAAAGTACATTTGATATGTGCGCGACAGTTCTTTGTGTTGTGGTTCGTCTTATTGCACTTGTCACATCGCAAACCACCATCCTCAGTTTTAGATTCTCGGTTTCCACCTTTGACAGTGAATACAGCAGCTTCTGGTTGGGCAGTACTCCGTCCACTTGAGACTTCGACTTGCCGTTCATGACGAAGAACAAGTGAGTAAGCCTTGTTAACAGTAGGCAAAGGCTCGAGAAGGAGAGTGTTGCTACGAACGGTAGGGTAAGACTCGTTCAAACCCATAAGAAACTTCATCGTCTTCTGGGTTTCAATGTAGGAGGTGATCTCCTTCTTTGTGTCACAGCCACATGTTGGGATAGAACACAACGCATCTCGTTCGTCCCAAAGGCTTTTTAGTTTGGTGAAGTATGTGCTCACGATCATAGTACCTTGTACGCAGTCGTGAATCTCGTTTTCGATGTGAAACAGTTGGACAATATTCACATGGGAAAACCTTTCTTGCAGGTCGAGCCACATATGTCGTGCATCCTTGTAGTGTATGACGCTCCCAGAAATTTCTTTGGACATGGATCCGAGCAACCACGTTTTTACCAAGTTGTTGCATCGATTCCATTGTTGTAATTCTTCAAATTGTTCTTCATGAGGTTTCTTGACCGTTCCATCAACAAACCCTAATTTATTCTTTACTGTCAAAGCCATGGTCATGGATTGAACCCATGTACCATAGTTATCCTCCACGAGAGACTGCAGCACAAGTATTGCACCAGGTTGGTCTAAGTGATGGAGGAAAAGTGGGTGATTGGGATTTTCCCACTTTTGATGCGAAGCCATGCCTGAAAAGGTTGACTTTTCTGATATATCGCCCATAGCAATGTCTGCTAGGGTTTATGTTTGTTGTTTTGCCTTTTATTTTCCCAAATATCGTTCACTCTGGTACCATCATAAGAAGCATAAAGTATAGGAATGAATTTTTGTATATTGACATCAACGAGATTTACAGCTTTATACAAAGTCTTACATGACTTGTTTCCTATTCTATTCCCCACAAATAAGGCTAACTGATAACTTAATAGGTAATTAAATATCAATCCATAATATTTGACAAATCAATCTAAGATTCCTTTCTTAACAGTTTAATATGAAAAAAAGGCCAAAAAGCCAAAGCAGCAATTCCTAACTTTAAAAAACTAGCTTTTGCGCTTCTACGCAAACCTCTTTACCAAAAGGTGCTGAGGCTTTAGTGAAACTTTCAGATACCCATATTAACCTTAAGCAATTCAATAATTTACATTATCATATCAAACTGGGCTGCTTCAAAATCCCACCTGAAGCCATCCCCCCGTAGCCACCTGAAGCCATTCCTCTTCCATTAATCTATCAATTTGATCAAACTTGACATATTAGGAGACCCACGTGAAGCCATCCTCGTACCCTATGTTGCGCACGATAAGGATGTGGATCTTGTTGTCGGAGTCGATTGATCCGCCAATCTCGATCTGGAAATTTTTTTCAAAGAGGGGTTGGGGGAGAAGATCTTGAAATTGCGAATCCGGTGAAGAAGGGCTTGAAATCAGGCGAAGAAAAGCCTGAAATCGCTTGATCTGCTTCGGGAATTTGAGGATTTTGATTCAAGCACTACTACGAAACCATTTATTAGTGTCACTATGATAACCGACAAAAAACATATATTACTGTCGGATATTAAGCGAAATCCGACAGAAAATGGATGCAGTGGCGGATATACTAAGCGACAGAATTGCCAACGTCAAGAAATATATTTTCTATCGGTTAAGGCCCTAAAACCGACAGAACTTGTGTCGGATATATGCAACAATAAATACTAAACTATTGTTGGATATTATCAATTAATGTTGTGACCGCAAGGAAATTAAAAATACCGTTGGATTCACATCATCTTCCTGTCAGTCCTAACCGACAGAAAAATTTAAAAAAAAAATCTACTATTTTTCATCGGTCACAACCGACAGAAAAATATCAATAATTAAAAAAATATACGAAACTTTCTGTTTGTTTTTTTAATTTTACAAAATGACTAAAAAAAATTTAATGAGTGAATAAAATAAACAAAGCTCGTAACAAACATAATATGCATTGAAATATAAATTAACCTAGAATGATGTCTTTTGAATCCCCTATAACACATAAAGTAGACGTTAAATATAAATTAACCTACAATAATGTGTTTTGAATCCACCATAACACATAAAGTAGACGTTAAATATAAATTAACATACAATACTGTCATCTGAATCCGCCATAATACATAACTAGAGAAAAAACATTTGTTTGAAGTAGATAAAGTGCCAGACATATCTATAAAGAAAACCAACAAACTATTAAATAAAACCCAAGCCTTCTACCGAACCTCCCTGTGCTTTAAAGCCTTATGTCGATCCTCCCTGTGATCCAAAGCCTTCTGCCAATCCTCCATGTGCTCCCAAATACCTCATCACATCCCCATCAAAACTACCCGACAGTAATCTGAAAAAAACAAACCCGAGGATAATCCACCATTGAAAACACTTGCAGAAATATGTGAGTCACCGGGAGAAGCCATCTGAGGTCGATATGTTGGCATTGGATACTGCGGCTGAAAAGGCAAATGATGCATGGGATATGCAGGCACAGATGGCTGACTGGGGGCTGAATGCTGTGATGCCTAAGAGCTGAGTGGTGGCCGCTGCAGATGTTGTGGAATAAGCAACATCAATATTTGCTATTGCTGCATCATAATATGCTAGTTCATCACCTGTTGCTGCTGGTTTACCTATTGTTGCGAGGTCTTTGATTTCTCAAGCTTAACCATTACCGTTGCCAACTTTCTAGAGGCTTCTTTCTCCCTCATCCTCAATTCGTTGTTCTCGGCTATCATCTTGGCCAATGCACCCCTGTTGATTTCTTGGAAGACCTATCACCTGAAGAGCTTGCATATGACACCATCTCTGATATCACCCCATGACCATAACCTCAAACCCTATTTCTAGTCTCAGAACCCATCTGCTCAACATAAATCTGTGTTTTAACCTCAGATGTGTCTTCTTCTCCATACTCAACAATTGACTGAATTTGACTCTCCATAGATGTCTTGCAATATAATATTTAAACAAAATAATAAAAGATTATTAAGAGTTGAAATATAGAAAAATAAATAAGATTCATAAAAACGGATTCATCAATCCAAACAGAAAGATAAACAAGGTTCATAAAAACACAAAATATGTGTTTAAATAATGTGTTCTAATAAATGCAATATTATTGTTTAAATAATGTGTTAGAACACAGATTCATCAATCCAAATAGAAAGATAAATAAGAATTAAATACAAATAGTCATAATCTGAATAGAGTTATAAATCATTTACCCATCTCTGTTGTGACGATTCATTAATCCAAGAGTCATCTTTCCGGGTATGGGTAGCTCGAAAAAAAAAAAGATGGGATCCAGCTCCTTCCCATGCTTGTTCTTCTTTAAATATGTTAAAAGAGAACAACAAATACATATTAACCCCAAATTATAAATACAAAAATAAAAAGCACTACATATATTACAAATTAGCAACACATACAAGTTCCTCGCGAACCTGAGCAAACATTTTTGAACCAGTTGTATGGTTCATCGTTTTTAACTCCCGATTATACTGTTTTTCTTTGCCACCTCCTGAAAAGTAAGAAAACCTTATAGGACAAACATATTTCAATACCAAATATCAAATCATTAATTTTTTACCTTTGTTTTAGGATTATCCCAATACGCTAACATATCGATCCACTGACTACCATCCACACTAGGGGGAGGTTCTGAGCACTCATGCTCTTTTCTTTTGGTGTAATACTCCGTTTTTAAACCATTACGGTATTCCTTGTATGCATGATTTGCAACATGGAGAGTCATGTTACAAATCAATGGTATTCTGTCACGGTCTTCATCAAGAAAAATGATATTCCCCTATATTCATAAAAACAAACATGTTAGTACAGATCCGAAATATAGTCTTGAATTCTTTCCCACAAAACTTCCTTATCATTTTCAGGAACCAAGCGCCAATCCCTCTTCAATGGAATATGTCTTGGATCCTTAACCTTTGAGGCTATCAATTTAAAAAATTCAGCGGCATTTTCACTAACATATTTTCCTGTCAAATCAAATAGACAAATTTGTCTCCCTTTCCATTTTGGAATAGCAGCTCCGCAGGTCCTACGTTCATTTTGTTCCTCCATAGAAAAGGGAAGAGGAGTAAAAATGGGAAGAAGTGAAAATGGGAAGGAGAAGAGGAGTAAAAATGGCTGGAAGTGAGAATGGGAAGGAGTGAAAATGGGAAGGAGAAGAACGGCTGACGTGAAAATGGGAAAGAGAAGAGGAACGGTTGAAGTAAAAATGGGAAGGAGTTGAGGGTTGATAGAAATTTTACCACACACACAAACGGGTTAAAAACTCCTATATTACTTGCAAGAATGACAAGGTTGTTGTAGTATAAACGGTTCTCGCAAGGTCGTTCTCCACAGGGATTATTAAATAATTCAAAACAAACCTAATTCCAATTAATTATTGTAAAGCAGAAAGTTGAGATGATTGGTTTTATAACCTACTTAAATTAAAACGAATTTAATTAATAAAAATAAACTAATTTGCAATATTAAAGATGAAGGGAAAAGAAAACTATTTTGGAAAAATCAAATTAAGAAAACACTAGGGTTCCACCATCACCTAGCAATCCTATGTATTTGTACCAATTAATTATGATCTATACATGCCACTTTGAAGGTTAGGTTTTCCTAATTTATATTCTACTTGGAACCTCCAACATAGAACGTATATCTAACATGCAACCCGTCCGGACGTTCAGATCAAATCTGAACATGAGAGACTCATTATGCTTTATGAAAACTCTTTGAAAAACCATGCAACCCTTAAGATGTGGTGTTCATCTTAAGTGAAATTACAATTATTAATCACAAGAAGCCAGCATCAATTTCAGGGAACCTTCCGACCAAAATTGCATCAAATTACTTTTCTAAAGATCCTAATGGTGATCAGGCATTAAGACAATTAGATAGTTTTAATCACGGTGATCAATAATTCAAAGTATGCATGCAATCAATCATAAGCAATTAAATAAAAATCACATATTCATGCTAAGGCTTACGGCTTCACCCTAGCAAACGGAATTAGTTACGCATATTCATAATTGAAATCATAGGAAATATTATTAAGAATAAACGGAATGAAAATACCTTAAAGTAGAAAATCTCCAAGAACCCTAGCCAAATTCTCTGTCTCCCAAGATAGCATAAAAGAAAAGCCTCCCCCAAAATTCCCAACGGCCAAGCCTTTTAATATCTCCCTTAAAAGCCAACACACAAACCCTAACCCTCAAGTATTTTATTCCCACTAAGAAACTAAATAATAATAACATAAAATAGAAAATAAATTCCTAATTAACCTAGGAAAAACTGCACAAAAACTGTTCAGCCACGTTTTAGCCTCAAATCTCCTTCAAATCCGGCCCAAAATAGCTTGTTTTAAAGATAAGAACATTCTAAACACATCTCCAGAAGGCCACAAACCCATCCGAGATCATCTTGGGCTCCAAAAATGCAATTTAAGCCCAACACGTCACTATTCCAGCACTGCGCATGGCTCCTTTATTTTATTGCCAGAAAATCATCGCTTGGTAGAAAAAACTGATATTTTGAAAGGATCAAGCTAAGTGACTCACGAACGTCCTCCAATTAGAATTACTCCAAAATTCGTCCATTTGACCATGTTTTGCTCCAGAGGAAGTCAAAAATCCTATATTGGAAATATAATTCAAAGTATCAAAATTCTTCCAAATTATTAACCAAAAT